CGGGAGTAGAAAGCCTTGTCTTTCTCCCATGGAGCAACTGGTGGTTTCGAACTGCTGACCTTTCTCCTGAGCAGCCCAACACATAGTCACTCTGTCACCAGAGCTCTGATAGAATGATCTTGGGGGGGCTGTCAAAGCAGATACCTATAGGATTATTGACTATGGCACTACATTTTTTATTGCCAGAGGGGTACCGGCTCATTTTTCTTCTGAAAAGTGGGTGGTAGTCCAAATCATTTGGGGTCCGGGTGTCCCTATGGATCAGAATTGACCCAAGGGAAGCAGATGTTTCTTGTTGTGCCGCTGGTAGCCTGGAATCCCTGGCTGGCACAAAGGATTAGGCACGGACCACAGCGGAAAGGTTGGGCATTCCAACTTACCCAGAGATGCCTCCAAAAACCGGCCTGGTGATCTTTCAAAAGGTCATGTCCTTGAGAGCCCTCCGGAGTCATTCTGCTCTGACCCATGGGAGCAGCATGACTTTGAATTGGCTTGATGGCAACGAACCATAGCAAGCTGCTTGGGAAGCTCCCCTGGGTTCACTGAGACAGCCTGGGGTCAGGACCACCCACGCGGGGATGAGTCCTCTTCCACAGCTTTCCGAGGGGTCCTGGCCAATGGCCATGGAGGGAGAGATCAAAACATAGCATCCTTCACAGAACAGTTCCCGTGGCCAAACATGCTCAGCCAATGGCTCATCCGGAGCTCAGTGCTCACAAGGAAGCCTCAGACGGAGTGGAAAGAGGCTGCCATGTGCATCTCCACCCTGGTTCAAACTTGGTGACCGAGCAAGTTCCTCGGCCTCTGTGTACTTAGTTGACTGACCGGTACCATGTGTTGTGAGGGCTGGGTGAAGTGAACCACAGAACACAGAAGACCTTGCAAGGAAGAGATGCTCAGCAAACAGAAGTCCCCTTCCTTTTATTGCAAGTCAGAAAGGGAATGAGCAAGGCCACTGCACTCCCAGCCAGTATTTCAAGCTGGGAAGGTTTCCCACGTCCTCTAAAGGGATGAGATGCATTTGATGGCAGTGAAGGCGGGAGGGAGGGAAGTGCACAGTCAAGCACGCTTGCTGCGGTTGGGGATCATCGCACCAATTCGGACTCACGGGTATCTCGCGTGAAAGTCGATCTGCCCCGTAGGGTTTCCTAAGCTATACTCTTTTCCAAAAGCCGGCTGCCAGGCTTTTCTGCTGCAAGACACCAGGGCTCCTTAAACACATACCCACTTGATCCCTAAAAAAGAGAGTCTCCTTCCCCCAGCAGCAGCACAGAGCTTCAGACACAGGGAGAGTCCCTAGAGATTTCCCAAGGGGCATCCTTGCTTTTCAACACTTTAAAGATATCTTGTGCAGCAGACTTACCTAACGCAATGCGTCACTCCTTGGAACTGGGACCAGAGGGGGGGGGGAGGCTGGGGAGATGGGCTTGGAGTGAGACAGGCTTGGCTTTGACCTTGTAATATTGGCCGCCCAACCTTGGTCAGGATTCTTGCAATTTCTCATATAAAACAGAGTCAGTTACATGGCCCTCTTTCCTATTGGGAGGATTCCACGAGATC